CGCGGCGCGGGAGGGCCAAAGTGCAAGCAAAAAGGGCTCTGGCCGGTCCTGGGGGGCTTCCCGGGGACGCCTGTGTTACCCGCCCCTTGGGCCGCCTTTGGCCTCCCGTCCAAGACACCCTGGCCCACCGAAAAGTCACCTTCCCAGTCCCTGTCCCCCTCCCCGACCGCACGCGCGCCTCCACCCTCGGAGCGCCGGAATCCCAGGGACGGCTCTGGGTTAGGGTTCGGGTTCGGGTTCGGGTTAGGGGGAGTCGCCGTGATTCTCGGGGTCAGGGGACTCCCGCAACCCTCGCCGCCTGCGACCCGCGGGGAGGAGGTTTGGGGACGCGCAGCGCGTCCCTCCTTGCTTGGCCCGCATTCATTCATTCACTCATTCTCTCATCGGAATGTTTCATAGCCTCCTGGTAGAAGGGTACTTCTGAAAAATGGAAAAATGGAATTAAAAAAATTAATTTTGGTACAAAAAGGTTTTGGAATCCATGCATGATTTTCCCGTCATGTGCTCTTTCCGTGACCTTTCTGAAGACCCCTGCTATGACGTGGACCTGCTCCCCACACTGCTGCACAGTCTGATGAGGGAGGCAGACGGCACAGGAACCTAGGTCGTGGTAGCGCGTGAGGGAAGCAGGCAGGGAGGGGTTTACTGACGGATTCTAGGGGTTCCTGCTGGCCAGGGTCCCTGCAGCCCAGGACCGCTCCGCTGCGGATCTCTGCTCCCCCGCCTCTCCCTCTGGTCCTCTGCTGCCAAGTTTTCCATCAGTGACGGAGCCCAGCACCTGCAGACCCTATCCCCGTGTGCCCCCAGTCTTCTCTCTGTCTCCTAATATGTGGTCTGCTGGCTCCTAGGCTTTTAGATTTTGAGCCCAGTTTCAAAAAAGACATTGAAACGAGGAGGACTGGCCAGGACTGGGAGGAGGCTCAGGTGGTGGGCGGTGGTGTCAGCTCAGCGCTGGTGGTGCCGGGAATCCCATCTGGTCCGTGTGCTCCAAACATGCTGGTTTCAGGAGGTGGATTAATGACATGGGCAGGGAGAAGCTGGTGGAAGCTTGCAGGGCTCCACGACACACCTAACGGAGCCCCAAAGAAACTCAACCACATGGGCGCCAGTTCACGTCCCGGCTGCTCCACTTCTGATCCAGCTGGCTGCTGAAGTGCCTGGGAAGGCAGCACAGGGTGGCTCAAGTGCCTGGGCACTGCCACCTACGTGAGAGACCCGGATGGAGCTCCAGCCTCCTGAACTGGGCCTGGCCCAGCCCTGGCTGTTGCAGACATCTGGGGAGTGAACCAGCTGATGGAAGGTCCCCCACCACCTAGACTTTCTCTGTAACTTTGCCTCTCAAATGAACACAAAAACCTTTTTTTTTTTTTAAGAATTCAACCAAGAGCCACTGTGCTCTTTGGAGAATGAGACACCTCTGCAAGGTGCTGAGGACTGGTCCCTTGTGGTTCTTGGTGTCAGGGCACTCCTGGAACCCTCGCCGCCTATGGCCTGCTGGGGGATGTTTTGGGGACACTCACCCTCCCCAAAGATACCTCTGCTAGGAGCCAAGAGTGAAGGCCGAGCTGGGTGGGAACAGTGGGCAGGGGCCCCTTGTCTGTCTGGGGTGCTGGACGTGGACCTGCCCTCCATCACTCCGTGGTGCCTGTGAGAGGCAGGGGCCAGCCCGCCCCATGCTTAGGCATGTCCACAACACTTCCTTTAGCTGCTACGCATCAGGAGCTCACTGAATCCCCACAGCGACCCCACAGGCAAGGACTACCCATCCCCTGAGTCCGCAGAGGCCCAGGAGGTTGCCCGGGGGCTCACAGCCGCTGCAGGCAGCCGCGGGTCTTCCTCCTGGCCCCTGGGCCTGACTGACTGCAGAGCCTGCGCCCCTCCCCCGCAGCGGCCTCGGCTCTGACCAGGATTTCTGTGTTCTGAGAGGGGTTTGCTGTACTGTGCTGAAAGTTGCAGCATCTAGCGGGACAGGACAGGGCACGGGTCCCTCCCTCCCCCACGGCAGGTGCGGCCCTGAACCCTCACGGGCCCCCCTTCAGGTCACGGCGGCCTCCAGTTTGAGAGGAGGTTGAGACTGGAGGTCGGGAGACGTGGCAGGGCTGCCCGCGAGTGACAGGCAAGGCCAGCAGTGCCCCGTGCTGTGACGCGATGGCTTCTGCTTCTCTCCTGAGGTCCGTTTCTGGACAGACACTGCGTCCTTGAGGCCGTCTGGGAGCCGCGCATTCCAGTTCAAGCCGAGTGGCAGTGGCGGCCCACGGGGAGGGGGTTGTGCATCACTGGTGGGGGCGGGGGGGATATGGCAGGCGAGCGGCCCCCGCAGACACTGCCCCCCAAGAGGACGCAGCAGGGCAGACGGTGACTAAGCAGACGGTTACCTACCTGGGAGACCCATCAGAAGTCCAGACGGGTCTGGGGTGCGGGGTATCAGGGCGTGGTAACAGCAACGTCACACACGCTGCGGGGATTCACTGTGTGATTCTCAGGAGGGAGAAAGCGGATTCCAACCTCAGACTGTGCAGAGAGGAAATCCCAGACAGCTGGAGTGTTTCATTAAAAAAAAAAAAAAATAGGTAAAGTCTTGGAAGAAAATAAACTCAGGGCCAGAGAGGCCTTCTGAAGCCATCGCAGAAAAGACTGACGGACTCAGACGCCGGCATCCCATTCGGGCATCGGTCGAGTCCTGGAAGCTCCAGTTCCCATCCAGCCCCCTGCTAGTGTGCCTGGGAAGGCAGTGGAGGGTGCTGCAAGTGCTTGGGCCCCTGCACCCACATGGAGACAAGGAGGAAACCCTGGCTTTGGTCTGGCTGAGCCGTGGCTGTTGCAGCCATTTGGGGAGGGAACCAGCTGACGGAAGACCTCTCTCTGTCTCTCCCTCTCTCTCTGTAACTGTGTCTTTCAAACAAATAAATATATTAAAAAAAAGAAAACGAAGCCAAAAGACAAACACTACCTCAGAGGAATCTGCAACTTACGTGACATAAAAGGACTCCCCTCCTGAATACGTGAAGAACTGTGACGCGATAAAGGAAGACTGTGAACCCCACAGGAAATGGGGAAAAGAGATGACCAGGCTGTTCTTGGGAAAAGACTTAACAACAGGAAAAGCGCTCATCTTCATTCCTCGTGAATGCGTGCACATCAGAACTCCAACAAGCTACCAGCTCCATTCACCAGACGACAACCATCAGGAAGCTGGACGACCCCAGTGCTGGTGAGCCTGTGCGGGAGACGCACACCCGCTCACCGCGGGGGGAGTTCACTCAGTGCTAGACCCTGCGGCAGGTACTTGAGCAGTGTCTAAGAAAACGGCAGATCCACCAGCAGTTTTTATAAACAGATACCCAGCCTGTGGAGTGTGTTACTAATGAGTGCTTGGGTCAGACCCAGGGCACCCCGTGATGCGCCCGGCCAGCAAAACCAGCAACGCGCATGGACACCAGGACAACAGCTGCGGCCCACAAGGAGGCGCAGCCGAAGCTGCAGCAGCCATCTCTGGTGATGTCCAGGACTCAGGTTCAAAAACCCTGCTCTGCCAACAGGGAGCAGGGGCGTGGGGCTGGAGGAGAGGGGGCTTGGATGGAGGAGCTATGTCTGCAGAGGCGAGCACGGGGAGGCATTCTGGGAAAATCCAGCTGCTCTGGCGTCAGCAGCAGGCCCTGGGTTTGCACCTGTGCCTGCCCCTTACTGGTCAGTGGCCCTGAGGAGGTCTCCTCACCATCATGTGAGGCAGACGGGGTGGTGAGTGTGGTGGGGGCTGCAGGAAGTCTTACCCTGGGCGATGGCCAGGATGACAGAAAGAATATTCTGAAACAAATTTTATTTTTAAAATATTTTTTGAAAAGATTTATTTATTTCAATGTCTGAGTTCCAGAGAGAGAGAGAGAAACTTCCATCCACTGGTTCACTCCCCAAACGGCCACACAGCTGGGGGGCTGGCCAGGCCGAAGCCAGGGGCCTGGAGCTGTTTTAAGGTCTCCCACATGGGTGGCAGGGGTCCAAACACTTTTTCCAGGCACATGGCAGGGAGCTGGAACGGAAGTGGGGCAGCTGGGATTCAAACCAGTGCCCACATGAGATGCCAGTGCTGCAGGTAGCAGCTTAACCTGCTGTGCTACAATGCTGGGACCTGAATTTAAATAACCAAAGTTCTCAGGAGAGATTTCTGTCTTCCAGGCAGTTAGGCCTGAACTGCCCTCGGATCCCCCTCCATCCCCTTCCCAAGCCAGGACAGTCTGGAAGAGGTCACAGCATCGGAGAGTCCCACACCGCGGGAGGCACTCGGAGCACGGGGGGGGGGGGGGGACCAGGGAGCCAGGTGCCCCCGGCTGTCTCTGTGTTGGAATCTCTGTAGCTAGAACTGTTTGGCACCGGCACTGAGGGTAAACATGCCAGGAGGTGGTTCTTTGTGAGAACAACCTTTGTTGGGGATGGTCTCATCTTACAGAGCCTGAAGCACCCACAGAGGGCTCAGACGGCAAAGGTTCTCAG